GTCCCTCTCCCGCCCTCCACCTCTGCCCTGCCGCGCACCACTCAACCGCAGCGTTCATTAACTTGATTAGTTGCGGCCATTTCTTATCGTGTATCAGTTTTCTCAACAAATTGGTATGGTGAATAATTTATAATATCAATATAATGACCCATCCCTAGTGTTTCTAAAAGTAACTTAAAATAACTAACTTAGTTTACGTTACACAGTTTTTCTGCTTAAATACGAGAGTTACTGTACTCTTCAATTGTGGATTTCTTACCAGATTTAATTGGAAAATTAATGTAGATCTAAAAATCCAGGACAAAACTCTCCGCTTAATTCATTAATATGTTCTCGTTTTGGTTAAGATACATTTTCGCTGAACAGTTTTATCACAAACTTTCCACCAAAAGAACTCTTGATGCGAATTTCTTAATTGGGCCAACGTAAAATGAATTCTAACATTCTCCCGGTAAATATAATGAGTATGATTGCGTACTTGTGAAGCTTCTTCATAAGGATTACGGTATTATTACACATTACACAGTTATTAATTATTACATTCCAAAATCATTATATTGAATATCATGTTTGTTGCAATCGTTATCTCGTGTGGTTCATAAATAATATGTGAGAATGCTTAGAGCTAACAGTGTGTTAGCCCTAGGCTTGATCACACCATTGATATCTGTAAGAAATCCCATCACCTTGTATCGAGAAAGGGGCGGTTTAACGCTAACAACAGTATGCAAAAATGTAATGCTTTTAATTTACCCCCATTTTATTTGAGGCCGTACTTAACCGGATAACCCTGAAATTCATACCCTAAGAGAATTTGCTGCGTGGTAATAACACAATAAAGTAAAAAAATATTAAATCGTGCATTTTAACAATGCACATTTTGTATTGTACACAATAAACCGCTCAAGACGATCTACGAGGAATTGCCTGCAATATTTCAAGTACTGTATAGCAAAAATATGGCATATACACTTCTGTACCTACCTCACACAAAACGGCTTATTGTCTAGAGACCTCTCAAGTTAACAGCCTTCAGAGATAGTCGTTCAAGCGGGGGGAATATAAAGTGACTGTTAGCAGCTCTTCAATTTTAAAATTACGACATGCATATTTTAAAATATGCAATCTCTTAATCGACACCATAGTTTAACATGACCTTATTCCAAATTTTAAAGTATATCCCTTGTATTTTAATGCTTCAAGTGTATTATTGAGTGTATAATCGCTAAACTTAATACCAACCTGATAGTAGGTGGTGATGAGTTCATATGTTACGAACAGTCTGGCTCGGTACTAAGCTTTTCCCCATTTGTATATGCTTACTTGTCTATTTATTGAAAAATTAAAGAGTTCAGATTTAGTTTCCATTTCAGCATATGTAAGCTAATATTTTCAACGCTTTCCATAATTTAGCGATGCAGAGCGCTCGCGTTTCGTCGCCGGGAGTTCTCAAAGAACAGTAACTACATGTGGTAAGACGCCATTTTGAACGGATAAGACTCACTTATGAAATATTCATGCGTTGTTTATAGGCAATATTATTCGGTATATAATAGCTTGACGATTCTATACAACTAACATTAACTAGGCTAATAAGAAGATTTTAAGTGATTAAAACAACTTATTTGTTAGTTGTAGCAAGTAAGTAAACGAACAGACGAACGCGCACCTTAGTCAAAAATTGATCAATAATCTTTTTTTAATGTGAGAATGTGGCGAGCGAGTTGACGGCGGTAACCGCCGCTCATTGACATTTACAACATCCGTAGGGTTGCTGATGCGTCGCCATTTTTTAACAGAGTGGGCCTCGGATACCGCACTCACCAGACGAAACGCAGGAGTATAACACTACAACTTCTCGCCGGTCTTTTGCGAGGCCGTTGTACTTCCCCAGATGGACCTGCCCATTCGTGAAAGACCGAACACTGTTGCGTAGCCCTACCACAGTGTCTTCCACAATAACATGGCTTACCACTTCTTCCTTTTGATTACCTAAATTAAGTCTTTGTGGCGTTGGCGGGTTCTTTGATATGTTACATTGTGCACTTAATCTTAAAACTGACTGATTAGTATGAAGTAAAGGTCCTCCGCTTACCCTTTCACCACCTAAATAGTTAAAAATTCACTGCATACAGTACCTTAACTTGCTAGTACTTTTCAAGTATGTATGTGTTATGGTTATACGTTACGAAGAGTGTAGCTGGGTAAATGCTTGTTAATTTTAATTGAAGAAAACGTCGTCTACTATATAAGTATACTATCGTCGTATATATATTATTGGATTATATTTATATTTATTATATTTTGGATATTGTATTATATTTTGGATTCGAAATTTCGGAGGCATATTCCAAATGGCTGGCTGCTTACAAAAGCGCATTAAAGAATCTTAAAAGCCTTTTAAGTTATAATTTTAAAATCGGCAACATATAACCCCAATATGAAACAGCAGTTTTGAGTCAAAATTAACACCGAGCCACCGAGATCTCTGATAGCGCTGATTCTAATAAGATGAGTATGGTGTAATTTAATTATAAATTATGGGATTACGAGCTTTCCGAGTAAATGAGTAGATAAACATTTGGAAACATTCAGATAAGTTTGTTTTGTATATTATTAAAAGCAATACATTATTTTACCACCGCATTTTGAAACGCAAATTTTAGCTCACAAGTATTCGACAAGATTCCGAGAAATCTCGAAAGCCTAACAGGAGCGACGGAATTGTTCCTTAAGTAACAACATTATGTTCGTCTACGTTGACATTCGCTTTAGCTTCGCACAATAGAATCTTGGGTACCGTTGTAGACAAAGCTCTCATACATAAGACGGTAATGTTTCGTTTGTTGTCACAAATAGCGGATCGAGGTACGAGTAAGCGGCCGATGACAAAGCATCTCATCACTCGTACTATCCACGCGTTTTGAAGCAAAGGTGGTATTAAGAGTTTGATTGTATAAATTGTATTCAAATTAATAAACATTTCAGCACATGTTATTACACAACGTTATCTAGTCCCTAACCAAAGCATATACTAACAAGTGCTAAATACATAAAAAGGCCTAGAAAAGCAGTACGTTCAGCACACTAAATGTTTTTTGTAGTGGGGATCAAACCCACACGGTGAAAGAGTTCATGCACTAAGCCAATTTAGACAAAAAAAAATATAATAAAAATTAAAAATTACACTTAACTTTAGGATTAATACGTTTTACACATACGGGTGACACAAATACTTGTCCATATCGAAATTGAACCAACGACCTCCAGCGTCGAAGCGAATAGCTTAGAAATCTTACCATATCTTACACAATTATGCAATGTACAAGATTGTATTGATTGTATTGATTTTAGTCTCAACCAGAGTAAAATCAATCCAGTATTAAGTACTAAATCAAATAGAGGTAAATAAATACGTATAATGTATAATAATGTTGTTATTTGCATATGAACCACCCCTCGCGGGAAATTCAACCCTAAACAAACATCGGATCAAGACGCTCGCGAGATGTCAAATGCCACTTGACACGAGGTTTGGGCCCTCTCTCGGTGAGGCGTCTTCCCTCTGCACCGACGAAAGGGATTCCGAAGCAGTTCATTTGACTTTTCTTTTACATAAAATTTCATGTACTCTTGACCCGTTTCTAAGACTGGTCGATAATGCCGTCAGATTAAATGTTGACTTCTTGATTTTACGCGAATATTATACTAATTAAATGAAACTAATTTTTAATTTTGTAAATCCCGACGTTTCGATCCCTTTTAAGCGTTATTGGACACGGGACAGTCCAAGTTGTCACACGTCTGGGTCAAGAAGATCTACGTAAATTAAAACAAAATTAAAACGCGATAAAATATAGTTTCATTTAATAGTTATGATTGAAATTTTTGTGTAGTTTCAAAAAAGACTTAAAAGTTTTAATTGTATATAATTTATAATAATCAGTATAAGAGCAATACTCACTAAAAGCCATTTGCTCTAGGCAAGCTATAAATAAATAACGACTAAAATACTAATTGATTTCTTGTACCAAAACTGTGCAAAATAAAAACGCAATAAAATCCGTGTAATAGTTTGTTTCATTTAACCAAAAATACTAATTGATTAGTAAACTGATAAGAAACGAAGCTAGTTCCTTTCGTAATTCTAAGGATTGAAGTTTCTTTTTAAGTTTGTTTGGTATCCGAAGATTTAAAAGCGCTTTGTAACTATCACTTAGTTGACACTTTGAAAGTGAACCAGGCACGAACTTTGTCCATTACAACTTATCGATTTGAACCTTAATAGTAGTATAAGGAGGTATTATTATTATAATAAAACCTGCTATGATAAAACTGCAAAATTTTTAATTTAAACTTATTATATATATATGCTATTACTCGTTGGCAACACTAAAGGAAGTGTCATTCTACGTTGTTTATATGAAGGTGTACGAAGCATATTTTTATGGTCTTTTTTGGTGTCAACAAGAAGTAGGTAGGTACACGCGATAGTGCTGCCCAATCGGTATCAAAAAGTAAATCGTAAGAGTGGTGATTCTTTAGTCTAAAAATGAAAATAAGTAATTATACCAGTGTTATTCTTACGCAAAGTAAAAGTACGGTGGTAAGGCTAATAAACTGCAATTTCGTGATTAAAATTGCATTTTTCATAGAGTGCGTATAAAAACACTTATAACACTCGAACACTCAACCGGAACTATGTTTTTATTCGTATTGAATACATGATTGATTTGTGTGAGGCGGTTGGGTAGTAAGTCCTAACGACCACTGCCATCTGGAAGATCTATTGTAGTTATCTGAATACGCGATTGAATGAATTCTAAATACATTTTATCAATTTCAGTTTAATTATATATGCAGTGTACACACTGATAAATGTAATAATTGATGAGCCCTTCCGTTTAAAAGCACTCCAGCGGTTATAACAGTCTTCATGTTCGTTTCAGATTGGCCGCCATCGCGGGTGACGGGGCGCGTTAATGGCGAGGTGACGCAGCATGCGCCGCGTGCCCATTGCCGCTTTACTGCGGCTGTTCATCATCGCAGGTAGCTCAGAAACGGCAATGGATTCGATGTACAGCGTGAGCTTCGTGTAAAATTGTTTATGGCCACGGATCGCGGTGGAATGCATTATGTAAATTTTACGCGCGGCATTAAAGGTTTTGGTTGTTTAGAAGTTTATGCGAAGCGAACGCTGTTTATGGGATATTCTAATGCTATCGTGGAAATAACCGTTTTCATTACAACGTAATTGTAATTTACCGTAACTGCTACATTAAAAAAAAAAAAAAAAACGCCATGATCTTTTGCTACTTCTTATACTTGAACGATTTTCGAAAATTTAATTGATAATGTCCTGACCAATTTAGAATATTTAGTTGATAATGTAAATGAAGAACCAATGATTTTACACTTCGACGTCGCCATTCAATCATATACATGAACGAATAACGGTTTACCAATAACCTTTTTTGTTTTCCACCGACACACCACCCCGCTATGGCACTGTGCTAAAATGAGCATAAAAGCGAAGTAGCTCGCCGCTGATACGGCCATTTTATGTATTATTTTTCCTCTTATTTTACAATCAAATTTTTATGGATACACATAACCCCGCTTTTAGAGTGGAATTATGATAACGATGTACGTTACAGAGGATTGGCTGTTTATGATGATGGCAATATACAAAAAATGGTTAGTACATTTATGCTTTTTTAAGTTAATTTTATTAATAAGTGTCATCACAATAACTAGGAGACCAACCTTTTTTGATATTAAGAGGAGGAAGGAGTTGAATTTTTACTCATTAAAATTCTCTAAAATTAAACACGTTCCAGTGTAGAAAACGCCTTCGCTAGCACCTTTTCTATGAGGGTCTATAGGAGTGGACAATTTACACATTTTATTAAGAAAGGAAAACAAAACCGATTTATTATATAACTTTATTTTATAATTGATTTTCAGGAGTTCCCTGAGTATCTCCGGAGCCCAAGATCCAATACCAATGAAATCAATATGGGACCACATGGGAAGCACCAGCTTTCAAATAAAAAAACAATCGTCAAAATCTGTTTACTCAGTCGAAAGTTCTGAGGTAACAAACATAAAAAATACAGTCGAATTGAGAACCTCCTCCTTTTGAAGTCGGTTAAAAAGCCTTCACCCTGACCGCCCATGATGTTGAACACAACTGAAAGATACAGCGTGTCGTTACAACCGCGACAATAAATTAACACACATAAAGAGGATAACAGGTACAAGCAAGATAACCAGAAGAGACTAGGAGTTTTCTAATAATTTAAAGTGATGCTCTAGAAAATTATAATTGAATAAACCTAAATGATACAAAAAGTGTGAAACCGTTGACAAGCCAGCGCGATTTGAATTAGAAAGTAAGGAAGAATAATACATCCATGTAAAAATACATTCTAAAATATATAAAAATTTAAGTAAAAGTAGCCTATGTTGCTCTTTATTACATCAGCTATCTACCAGTGAAATTCCCCTCAGAATCAGTCCAAAGTTTCAGAGATTAACTGGGACAAACAGACAGACAGACAGACAGACAAAAATTGTAAGATATGTTATTTAGGTATATGTACCGCGTATAACTCGTACATCCATATGTATTTAGTGAAAAACGCTTATTTTAATATTACAAAGAGTGGATTGTCTCTTTTATTTTATTCATCCGTGTAGATTGTTGCTATATACTTATTTTGTTTCCTTTTAAGAGAAGATACACTTTTTAATGAATTCCAAACGTGTATCTAGATTTTGTAGATATAATTAAGGCCTCCTAAACAGTTGAACTTGGCAAAACTTTAACATTTAGCAAGTAATTAGAATCGAGACATCGGCGAAGGCACGGAGCCAGTGGGAGTGCCGGCAGACGCATCAATTCGAGGGAACTCGGCCCGACGCGGGCGGCCTCGTTGGTTACCAATCGATAAGCTGTGGTATCTGTAGAAATGTTATCTGCCTATCGTCGGCACGGAACGCGATATGATTGATGCTGTACTCTTCTATCTGAATATTAAAATAGCGCATATCCGTTAAACGAGGCCCAAAGTCAGCTTTCGTAGCCAATTAAAAAAAGCGTCTAATATTTACAGATGACTTGGTATTGGAGAAGGCTAAGCTTCATTTAATACTGGAATTTAAAGATATTGTTTAAACATGTTTAACGATAGTTAGAACGTACGTCGATACTTTATCCAATAAATGCAAAAAAACTTGGTTTAACTGATTGTTATCTGAAACAGTGGTAATAAACAAATACGACGTTATGTTTTATAAAATCCATCTTTTACGTAGTTAGACCATGTATGTTGATAGAGGGTATCAGACTGAAAATGTTTTAATAAAAGAAAAAAGGAAGCTATACAGTTTTTGCACGGAGCATAGAAAATAAAGTATTATAGCGAATAAAGTATTTGAAAACTGGTCTTCGTCGAAAACATTAGCATTTGAGCTTATTATCTCAGACGTAAATCAATTCCTCTACGTGCCAAGATATAATCACCAATTACTTTATTTCTATTCACATCTGACCGCTATAAACGTCTGTGTCTGAAATAAATTGTTTCATATTTCATTCCCAACACTTCTCTTTAAAGGAAATTCATTTAACAAACAAAACGCCTCATTTAACTCTGATTTACGCCGGCACTGAAGCTGAGGCATTTTAATTTATATAAACAGTACTAAAGAATAGACCGACCATCCAGTATAACGAGGCATCTCGCTTCACTGCCTTTGATTTGTAATTTTGAACGTTAACTTGCTACAATACGATCGCGGAGGCCAAGAGTATTTGGTTGATTTAAATTCGCGTAAGTCGAACACCGTAGTAATGCTGTAATTATATTGGTTGTTTGTTTGTCATAGACATAATTTACTGAGAAATTATCTAAGAGGGTTAATTATCCTTTCTCAGGTACTAAGAAATATGTACATCGATGAAATGGAAGCACCCAAGAAGATTTTTGAATGGCATAGGAAAACTAAGAAAACTCATCTTGACCTTGTCATTCAGGTCATTTCCTTAGAACAATAATCATCAGCTATATAATCCTTATGTGTGTGATTGACCAGTAATTTAATACTATAAAAATATATATATCATAGCTGTCATTTTTGATTTATTTTTACTTACCTTAGCTATCATTAAAATAATGGGGTGTACTGTTGTTGAGTTTGTCTTGTAAGAACAAACCATATGCATAGAGTAGACCGCGTGTCACTGTGTTATTTATGTGGGAGATCTGGAACAACTTCTGCAAATACTTACGCGTTCCCGAAATCGAACCTATGTCTGCAGGGCTCGATTCAGTGGCTCAACCACTGCGCCATCTGAACTGTTCCAAGCTATATAAATTATAAATTTTCCAGTCAAATAGGTTGATGTTTATATTTCCAAGTTGCTCAATAAACAAGGTTATGAAAGTGATATCGACTCTCGGGTATATAACATTCGTTGCGTTTACACCCGACGATGAAGTTTCATTCAATTACACCCAAAGTGCACGAGGACCGCCTATGGGCTTGGAAACCGTATTACGTGTATAACAGGCTGTGTTTGAGTTACGAACAAAGTTTATCAAAGTTTATTGCAACTCGCAGTTGCCTGCATTATAGAGAAGCCTTCGTGGGGCTGCTCTAGATTATGTTCTAGAACGCTATTTGATGCAATTCAAAGAATTTCTTTCCCGAACACCATAAGTATTGGCTTCGGCGTCGGGGGTCGTGGGTTCGATTCTACACGGGACAACTATTTGCGTTACCTACTGAAAGTTGTTTCGCAATCTGCGTTTGTCCACGTGAAATTTATATTTGTTAACCGTCCTAAGAACACAGATAATGCAATACTAAAGTATGGGGCAATGTTTTTTTTTTAAACAAAAAAGAAAAAATGGCAATAATATTAATAATTAAAGAGATTATAAATCTGTCCACGTTTTATTTTTTGTATTTTTACGTGAGAAGATGGCTATCGAGCTGGCGGTTCACCTGATGTTAAGTGAGCCCATGGACATCTGCTATACGTGCTTCCAGATGCGTTGACAACTTTTTGACAATTGGGCTTCGGCTCTAATATCTCCTGTTTTCGCAGGCGGCGCTTGTTTCGTCAATCCGTACGCGAGCGATGATCGCGCGGACCTTAGCCAAGTATGGGTGGACATACCGCCCACGTTGGTCGCTCTGGGAGGAGACGTGCGGGTGCACGTGAGAGGCGCTATCGCCACCAGCGGCCTAAAGGTCCGGCTCGCCAGAGAGGACGACGATGGCAGAGCCCTACTAGCCACGATGCCTCTCGCTCTAGACGCGGAGAGTCGCATGACCCTCCCGTGCGGCTACTTCTCTAGAGGCGGCATCTACTATCTAGAAATCATCGCCGACAAAGAGCACTTCCTCTCCGAGGACTACGACGCGAACTACACCGATAGGAGCGAGGCGCACAGCAATAAAGCGAAGAGAGACGTAGACAGTAGCATGATGGAAACTGGCGATAGCCTTATCAAATCTTGGAAGTTCGATGTGCTGTGGCCCACTGCCAATTTGGACGTGACCCCTGAACAGATACAAACGTATCCGGAGAGGCAGGTGACGGCGATATTGGAGTTCCCCAAAGTGGTGTGCACTCCGTTGGAGTCGAGCGCGGACTTCTGGCTGGAATTGCTGTACTGCGGCCATTCGAGCGGTGGAGCCGTGCTATGCGATGGAAAAAACACTAGTTCCCATGCACACGTGCTGTATTCTGAACAGGTAAATACTGAAATTTGCGATAACTACAACATTCTGTTATATAGGTAAATTTATAATGAAATATATTTTAATACCTTTCATAAAAAAGTTAGACATCCGAAAAGGTACTATTTGTATTTGACGCAATAAACTTCCTCTGTTTATTAAATTTTAAGAAGTACACGCTAGAACATGTTCGGAAGTGTAACATGATGAGCATATTTCTATTCTAACCCCTGGCAGATGCACGGATTTCCTGGTCGGCGTACCATGACGCTCCGTTGCGAACTCTTCGGCCAAGCCGGCGATTACGCTCTGACCCTGAGGCCGGCAGCGGCAGCCGGCCCGCAAGACCTCGCAGCCGCCTTCATCAAGGTTAGTCCAAACGGTCAATGAAAAATGTATCCATGTAAAAAGTTACAATAACTAAACCATTAAGGTAAATCGGTAGGTTTTGAAAGTTGTTACGGTCATGAGTCTGGGTCGTGCTCCGTTTTTTTTTACCATTTAAAATTTTACTCTATTGATATGACATGACTCGAGATGTTTTATACTACTATACGGGCAACGTTGAAACATTGAAAACTTTTGAACCATTACGAAAACACATTGTCTTTCTATGAAAATTCCTCACCTGTACTGGTCCGAAAATTTCTATTTCTATTTATATTTTTTCATGTATTAGTAGATTCATGTAATTTACAAAACTCCAAAGAACATTCATTCCAATGATCAAAATAACATTACAACATTCGTTACAGTCTGTTCGACTCTTAGTGGATACTTGATTAAACGGCGCAAAAGGCGCAGTCGGTAAACACCAGTTTAATTCAACTGAGTGGAAATTATCAAGTGCAGCGAGCAACAGTTTCCCGAGGGCACTTGTCCTCATCTCGCTGCACGATACGCTTTCGGAATTGAAATGTTTCGAGCGCAGTTGAGAATTGTTTTTAAAACTCCAACGTAGACGAGCATGCACTATTTGCGACACTCAATTCTGCAAAGAAGAAACTGTGCTAGCAGAACCAACTAAGGCGATGGAAAATTACATTTTGGTTATTTGCTACATCTGAATCAGCTCGTGTAGGAATTGGGAGACGAAATTGCAATGCAGTTGCCCTAAGAGTTCTCTAGCCGTCAATAAAGCTTTTGACCCAGCGTTAAGAGTGGCACTTAACGACACTCGATCAACTTGTTGGCACCATTTCGAAGAATCGTCGATTCATTATTCCCCTTATACAGACTGCACAGTTGAAAGGGAACTGAGTAATCAGTAATAAGTTCTAATAAAAATTTACGAAGAAACCGTCTCGAAAAGTTAAGCGTTAGCGGATTTAACTAAAATTATTATATAGAGAAAGTGTAAAATAGTTTTTCCTTACTATATAATATTGTATAGCTTGCGAATTTGTATTCGGAATGGTAAAATAAATAATACATCGCTGAATGATCATGAATCATCGATTGATTAATTGATGACTAGTTTTGCGCAGTTACTAATTGGGGACGTTTCCGTCACTTTACGGCTATTGCGTGAGGGGCAAATTGTTTTGGGTCTAAATATTTGTGCAAATATATCAAACTCGTGTCCGAAAAACGAACAACTTTTTTATACAATCAAAAATATCGTAAAATAAATTCTGCTCTAACGAATGTTGCACCGTGAAAGCAAAAGGCATTTGCGGTACCATTTAATAAAATTGCACTCTGTTTACGCAATTCGCTCGAGTCTCTGCAATTGAGTGTGTGTTACGGTTAACTTTAAACCGCAACCCACACTCAATTGCAGCTTTGCTGTACTCATATCCGGGTCGTGCTCATACGCCCGAAGTCGGCAGTTCACTCGAGACTTTGTTGGCGAAATTAGGCCTGCGAATTAACGTTAACTGGATTCATATATTTTAAATTCCACGCTTATATTATATAAGCATTCAACTCTCAAATGATATTAAGAATTCATAAAGCAAGTAAAATTAATTCACCAAACATAACAATGAAAGCAATCGCTTGTCACAAATCAGTTACACAAGCTGACATTACTCACATAATCTCATCACAATTTCATGATGTATCGGCAAGTATTTCGAATAAAAAGGCTCGACATTTGGATTGAAATCTACGATCACAAACTACGAATCGACCTCCCAAGCCTCCTCATCTCTGAAAATATAGTTATTTCGTATATTTTAACTTTCTGCTAGTTATAACTATATTACCGACCTACTTGTGTATAAAATTAGGAATGTAATATGCTAGGTCAAGCAAATAATGTAAACTAAACGAACAGTTTTATAGACTTCAAACGTTGCTTATTCATACATATACATCTATGTGTATAAACTCTGAAGTAGGGCAGAGTTTACACACATATACACAATAAATTTTTAAGTTCTGGAAAGAGTGGTCACTCTTTCATAACATATCGCAGAGAAAAAGTATTAACACCGTGAAAGTAATTGTATATCCGAGCTATTGGAGAAATGCATCAATATAATTTATACCGCAATTTGGCGTTGGAGAAAAACAATCACGAAATTTTACTAGAACTGAATAAAATGAGTTTATAAATTAAAATACAGTTAGGTTATCAATGTCGAAGCAAAGAGATTCATTACCTCTTTTTTATTTTTCAACTTTTAACAGCAATTAAAAGTTTTTATTGTCAAAGTATAATGAATATATAAAAAAGGTTTCGCCACCTTGACCTTTTTTGTAATTATCGATTTTGAAATTATAAACTCGCTGTGTTTTTCACTTTGTAAATGAGTATGCTCGTCCGGGAAAGTCACACGGCCACACAGAAGACCGGTATGAAGTATTATACTTCGGCGTTCAACGCAACTGCAATCCCACGGGTTTTACAGTTGTCTATGGGCAACGGTTATCACTTAACATCAGGTGAACCATCAACTCGCTTGCCACCATCTCACATAAAATAAAGAAACAATAATTAGTCTAATCAGTATGGCAGCGTGAGGATTTTCCATATTTATGGAAACAATTATGAATCACAGCGTCTTTCACGATTATCGAGTAAATGGACCTGGGGCTCATACAAAATTATATATACAAAAAGCTATCCAGTATCTAAATGAACAGATTGAATTGTATAATTGGTAATTTTTGTCCTGTAGGCTGACTGGTCGGAGCAGTTCGTGCTGAATGTGCACGGTGGCTCGGTATTTCCCTGCGGCGAGGGGGTGCGGGTGCTGTTCCAGTATCCGGAGTGCGTGCTGGAGAGGGCTGACAGGGTGCGGGTGTTCGGGAGGGACTCCGAGAGGCTGCGGTACGTGGCCGAGCGCAGGGTCACAAGGTGAGCTTTCATATTCTCATCATGGTTTTTGAGTGGGTCGCGGGTTAGATTCCCATACGTGCAAGTATTTGTGTGACCAAACGTTTTTGTTATTTTTAAAAAGGACAAGAAAAGACAAAGGGCAAAAATAATATTATATATTGTTTTAATAGTAATCCCAATATCCATTTCTTCTAGGCGCTAATATGTATAGTAGCGAACGAGATTATTACACGGACCCAGAATATATGATTAAGTGTTTACCGTCGCCCATGAACAACAAGAATACCTTGAGTGTTTTAAGGATCGTGCAATCTTAAACAATAGTGGACCCCGGCTACCTCACTTACCAGACGAAATTCAAGAGTATAGTACTTCTACTTCACGCTGGTCTTCTATGACGCTGTGTTATATCACCAAACGTATCCGCTCATTGGCACATTGAAAACTAAAGGTCTTTGTCAAGGCACAAGATCGTATATATTGTATGTATGTGTTGTTACTGTTAATATTTATAATAATTCAACATTCATTATAATACTGTCGTATGCCATCAGGGGTCAGCATACAGCCTCGTTCGACTGCCGGCTCTTCAGCGAGAGATACCCGGAGTACTGCTTCGTTTACGTGTCTCAAGCTGTCACCGGTGCGGTAGCAGACGTGAGGATGGACTGCCTACCCACTCTACCACTAACAGGTTATAGCCGAGAGCAATCTGTGTTACGGCAACACTGACATTGAGCGCCCCTTCCGCAAGAAGGATCGCGGCGCTAAGACCCAATTCCTGCTTCGTCGCTTACAACTGCAACGGCTTAACAAACATACAAAATTAACAAGTAATTAAATCGTATACCAGCGACCTTTATTTTATTTCTACATCCACATCTCTACAATCTACAAGCAAACAGGAAACCATTGCCAAATTTACACGTATATATATCTTACAGCTACATATTTTCAATGAAATAAATCTTAGTCGTGCGTACTGAGCCTCTGCTCTGTAAAGTTAAGACTCAGCGTCAAATGGAGTACTGCTCTCATCTATACATAAAACATTATGTATTTAATTGTTATTCAATGCAAGCTCAATATTCATGACGATCATTCGGTTCAGTAATACACAGGTCTGACAAGGGTTGTTCTGTTTCTAGATCACTATAAAATGTATACATATGGCGTGACATGATACCATAGTGCCGGATCCGTGTACTTTACTTTATCTATGTACCCAAAACTTCTCTACAACACAGGCTATTGTGAATAGCATTACTAAATGTTACTCTAAAAAGGTGTTTTAGTAGAAATTTGTTACCTTAGTTTTTAGCGGTAGACGCCTTCATAATTTATGATGGACGTCAATTTCATGTCTAAATATTTGCTTTCTTTTCTTTTTAAATTACAACCGTGGTCTTTTTCTTTCTTTTTTGGTGTCGTTTTATTTTTTTTATTATGTGAGAAGGTGAGAAGTTTGTAAGTGAGCTAGCGATTCACCCGATGGTAAGTGATAACCGCTGCCCGTCGACATTTGCAACATCCGTCAGTTTGCAGATTGCCAACTTTCAAATTGGGAGCCACTCATCAGACGAAACGCAGAAGTACTCAAACTTCACGCCGATTTTCTGTGAGGTCGTGTTACGTACCCAATAGTGCAACAACGTAAACCGTATTTCTTTATTTTTCCCCTAACCCAATACACGCGCCAGACGGAGGCGCCGGCGGTTGGGGAGAGTGGTCCGCGTGGTCGGCCTGCCCCGCCCCGGCCCACTGCTCGACGCTCACGCGCAGCCGCCACCGCTTCTGCGACTCGCCGCCGCCCGCCTACGGCGCCAAGTACTGCGAGGTGAGCGTTGCCTTTAAACTCAAACACAAAACTTCGTAACTCAACCATCAGTTCACGTGTTAGAAAAGAAAAAAAATAGAACCAATAAACATCTTCAAATAACTTCTAACGAAAGATTTTCATAGTTAAATTACGATTTGTACTAAGGGAATTATAAAAGTTTTTTTATAAATATAAGGTTATAACTTTCTTTTATCATAGATAACTTATGCTATATTCATAAAATAATCAAGATAAAATACGACTTTTTTTATTCTGTACCTTAGCAACCAGTTGCCAGTTAATAGATACTGCATTAGCTGACAACTGGTTGCTAAGATACAAGATGCTAGGCAACCGTTAAGTCAATTTTACATTCGACTACCAGAAACAACGCATATCGTTTTATAAGACTTTTTCAATAATAGAAAAAGATTATAATGCCACCTAAGAAAGAAAAAGGGAATAAAACGGAAGAACCTAGCAAAGGCGGGACGTTCACGGAGGTGGAAAGAACGTTTTTAGAATTGGAATTAGCTGATTGCAACAGGAAGCTAGCAAGACTTCGAACAGCCGTCGGTGAATATGAGCAACGAAATGAAGAACTACAAAAATCATACGATAAATTGGACGAAGATCGTGCTGATATTATCGCTTACTTGAAGAAGGTCCTTAATGTTAAAAATGAAGAAAACTCGGAGTTAAAGGAAAAAGTTAAAGGGCTTGAAGAAACAAGAGAAATTGAAACCGCTCAGTTTAAGGAAACCGTGGCGGAGTTAGAGAAAAACTTTGTAACTATGAAAGATCAATTGACATCTGAGAATAAGTTGTTGGCAGGAAAATTAAATACACTTGAAGAATTTAGAGCGATAAGAGATGACCTTATGAGAAAGTATGAGAAACAAGAACAAGATTTTAAAGACCAGGAAATGAAGTATAAAAGAGTTATTTATGATGCAGAAAAGAAATTCGTTATTGGCAAAGACAAATTAAAAAAAGAAATGGAAGCTAGACTTTTACAACTAGCCCAAGATTTTCAAGATGCAACTGAGTTAAGAATAGCTGCATCTACTCATCGGGTCATCAGAGAAAATATAGCAATTAACAATGAACTGGATAACATACTATCTACACAAAGCAAATTAGCAGAGCAGAATGAAAAATATAAGGAAAGTGAAAGATCTGCTCGTATAGCAATGGAACTGGCAGAAGAAGAAAGAGATAAAGCAATTAATAAAAGCATTGTGCAACGAAAAGTAATTGATCAGCTAACCACAGCTTTCCAAAATATAAATAAGGAGAAAGCGCAGTTTGAGAAAAGGAACTATGACTTTGAGGCTCTGCAAACAAAGGTCCAAAAATTAAGTAAAGAAAATGAAAATCTTTCTTTGCAATTGCGTATCTTGGAGCAGAATCTTCACGCTAAAATGACAGATCAAAATAAATCCGTTGTCGAGTCATCCAAAATAATTAAAGAGAATGTAAAATTAAAAAAAATTCTGAAAGAAGCAGCAACAGCGGTTCAAGCTGCATTGAAATTAGATCAGTGGTCGGAAGCAGATCCGACACGAGAACCAATGGAAAGACAGGTTTTGCTTTCACGCCTACTTGGCATCATTACTCAATATCGAGAATTACAAAAATCGGAATCTATTGATACACTTGCGTCTCTTAGTAAAATATATGAAGAAGGAGATCTGGGTTTCATTCCAAAACCAAGCTCGAAAAGATCTTTTGGTTCTGCAGTGATTGTTTCATCTAAAGAATCCAGTAGTAGTGAAAAGGAAAGCATACCGTCAATCGAAATTTCTAGATCAACTATTGGGAGTATTAAAACTATTCCGAGTATGAAATTATTGCCTCTTTCAAGTGAACCAGAGGTAACAATAAAAGAAAGCATTGCATCATTTGTAACATCAGCACAATCATCAGAAAATTCAGAATCTGCCGAAGGGGAGGAAGTTGAATATGAAACTGACGACATAGAGAAACAGCTAGCCAGAAGTAAACTAGAAATTCAAAAATCCATTATGAAAGATCTAGCGTATTCGCAAATGGCTTTAACTTCACAAGCAAAAATGACAGAGGAACGACAAAAAGCTTTACATTCAAAGTCAGTTATTTTCGAGGGCAGTGAGAATGAAGAAAAAAGTGCCACTGATGAAGGAAAGTCTCATGAGCTTGAAAGTGAAATAACAGATGTCGAAGCTACAGAAGAAAACGTTGATGAGACTACCGATATAACATCTACAATAAAAGAAGGCGTTGATGGTGTCGATGATAAAGATTAAATTTGATCCAACTTACATGTTTTTTTGAATGAATTAATAAAAAACATCTTATCACATTATCTTCTCATTTTACTATCCGCCATTATTAGATTGACATGTTAACTTAAATATTGGTAAATAAGTAGTCGAATAATGGCTTGGTTAAAAAAAAAACTTATGAATCTATAAAACCGTCATGGCCTGTAGCAAAAATAAAATCTTTGTGAAAATTGATTATTATCAATTTTGTTAAAGATTTTTAATGCTACAGATTGTTGCTACAGCCTCCTCAATGAAATTTCATTGAGGAGGTTGAAGGAGTGTTTTACGAATCTATTTTGGAAAATTTTGTTTGAAAATGTTTGTACTTAATAAGTACTAGGCTAATTTTTATGGGCTTTTGAACATTATTATTTTTTGTTAGATATACATTGGCTTAGATATAGTGTATCAGTTGTGAGACCCCAATACAAGTTTTAAGTTTTTATGTTCTCTTCTTTGGCTTTATAATTATATTGTTTGTATATAATAAAGAACATTGGACTCTTTGAAATAATTTTCTTAATGAAAGTAAAAAAAAATACATAAATAATTTTCATTTAAAATCTTATGTTTAAGATATAAATTTTTGAAAAACATAACCTCTACTAGACTTGAATACTTATATTAAATTCAACTAGGCTCAACAGAAGTTCTTTTCAGACGACAGCCAATTACGACTGTGTTTACGCTTAACCTCATTCATTTTCACTTGATAACGAAAAAAAGATAAAATTTAAAACCACACGACAAAATTTATTAATTCCCTGAAACAAACAACAAATAAAATTAACGCATTTGAGAGCTCACACTATAATACGGCAAAATCGAGTTGACATGATGTATGCTCTTACACTATCCAGTTGCTGAACAATATTTATTTGCCGGGTTTTATTTTCGTTCACCATTCAATCTGATATTTGCGTATTGTTATTCCAAGCGCAAGTATACTATCGATTACGTGGAGAAACGACTATGGATTTACTCGAGATTAAAATCATGTAATTAGCCTGTTTACCCTATTATTTAAAATAATTGTCCATCTTATAATCTATGATCTGTTATTCTACAGTCCTACAGTGATGTGTGCTGATGAGATGGTCATAGAGGGGAAGTTTATATATTTGATTATCATCAATGAAATTCACGTCCACTCGCGGTTTGACTTAATACATTGGCGATCAGCATATAGTTAAACGCTCCGCCGTCCGCAGGGCGAGGCGGTGCAGCTGGCGGCGTGCGCGTGCAGGGGGCGCGCGTGGGCGGGCGACGCGGCGGCCGTGGCGGCGGAGGTGGGCGCGCGCTGCCGCTGCGGCTGCGTGCTGCACCTGGCGCCCGCCGCGCGCCTGCTGGCCGGCTCGGCCCGCGCCTGCCCCGCCCGCTCCTTCTGGCTGCTCCAGGTACAGTTATCATTCATCCAATGCCCGCTTCCTACATTCAACGAGCGGCCGATACTTACACAACTTCCTGACTTTGATAACGCCTCGTTGTGACGACTTCATAATGGCGACGCGACTAACGGCCGTTCCTTGAATGTAGAAACCGGGCATTAGACACTGACACTCTTTCACCGAGTCCCGTCCGTTTCACGGTCTTATGCTGCACAGACATTTACTTGTTTTTTTAATAATTGCTTATTTTAAATTAGTACAGGTCTTATGTTTATCCATTGTGCTTAGAGCGTGAATAAACATTTCTTCTTCTTCTTCTTCACTCCTGGGGGGATGATTATTCCTTTCTTAGAAATTTTTACCTTAATGTGTACTAATAAATACATATTAAAAATAGATAACAAAATACCAATGTAAAAATGCCCCTTTACTGTACAAATGGGCGTATAAAAAGAGAACTATTTTTAAGTTTGAAAGTTCTTGAAGGCAATTTTGTCTTTTATTCTCCTACCTGCGTGTGTTTAATAAATCGAGTCAACAAAAGATTTTTACATCTAACAGCAACAAATTCTGCAAAGCTCTCATGTTCAATTTAAATTCGTAGCCGTCTCGCATTTAATAACCAGCGGCTTTAGCTTCCGTCGCCCTGTCAGGAGCACGCGGCGAAGTTTGCTCGCGTCGCGTCGCATAATGCGTTCGATTCGAGCTGAAACTAACTTGTTCACACACCAAAGGAGCATGTAATATTGCAGCTTGCGAAATTTCGCAGAAATAGAATCGTGATTGATATAAATTCTAAAGGTGTGAGTTTATAATATTCACTGATTGCTTTATCAAACAAAAAAAATATGTGTGTACTTATGTAGTACGCACGTAAGAGGTAATTACGTTATAGGGTTAGAGATTTATTGCTCCCTACAGTAACGAGGAGATGAGATATATACTACGCTACTATTTTATAAAATATTTATTATTATATCTACAAGATGTTCACATGGCAGTGTGCGTTCGCTAGCTACTCTTGATGAACTATTAAGGCGCTGTATGCAGTGAATTTTTAACTATTTGGGTGGTGAAGTATGAGGAAGCGGAGGAGGGGTAACGCCGCTTAGCGGCGCGCAGCGCGCGAGTTTCGTCGAGACGCCGCTACACCATTCATTACCGCGTGGTAGTGATGGGCCGTAGGACACTATCGATAGTATCATGGAAGGCTTTGGAAAATGTACACAGATGATCCCTATAATATCTTTTATAAGTCCTCTAAGAACATTGGTCTGCTTCTTTGTTATAAGTAAATTAATAACTATAACTATAATTTATTACATACATTATTAAAATTGCATGTTGTGCTCGGTTGTTATTGAAATGCAAGTTTAGTAATATATATTAGTCTGTAATAATTTAGTCATGTTAGAATTTGTATTTTGTAACCGTGCCAAATAAATAAATAAAAAAAAAATGTGTTTGTATTTTACTTTTATATTATAATAGGAATAATAATAAACAAAAAAATATAAAGTATGAGAAAGCAATCAACAATTTTAGAAAATCTTCTTCCTGTTTATTATTACTTTTTTAATTAAATGGAAAGGGAATTGATTAAAAATACATCTTAAAGTCAAATAAATTAATAAAGGCAAATTACTCATAATTATTATTTTTTGTTTTCATGGTTTATATTGTTATTTTAAAGAAATGGCTCATAAAATTTTTGCAGAAATTACGAATACAACTTTTTTTATATATTAGGAATTATATACACAACAGTAAACTTTTGCTGTAGGTGGGTCTCAAGTTCAAACCCTCATCGAGTGGAGTTGTATATTTTATATTATTTTCACTTTTAATTTCTTAGCCAACAAATTATTTTGTTTTTACTTTATAAAATGGCTAAATTTGTGAAATAAACAAATTAATAAAAAAAAATTATAAAACAATTATTTTTGGTGTATAAGATAAATTTTCGTTTTAGGGTGAAAAATTAAATGTTTTAATAAAAAAATAGATGACGTTAAAAAATTTTAATACTAAAAGTTGGTTTATTTACTGAGATTGTTCTCCAACTGTTTCAACTTTGAACAAATACAATAATATTTCGTTGTAATTATTTATGAAAGTAAAAAACCAACAAAAATTAAATGGTAATTAAATCAACAATAAGTACAACAAAAAATTTAGGGATTTGAACCCAATCCATAAAGAATGATGGTCCTATACACTGTATGTATACGACTGATAGACCAATCACAAGATAAGACATTGAAATTACGCTTTAAATAAATTAATTAACAACTGTTAATACATACAAATAATTTATAAATACGAAATATGTGAATATATATTTTTAGTTTCGTGTTTTGGAAGGTCTAATAATATTAAAACTGTCAATAATAAATAAATACGAAACATATTTCGTAACGGCGAGCGGGCGATGAGCGGCATAGGTCCATCTAGCAAGGCGCCTCAGCGCTCTCTGTTCAACGTATGGAGTTGGAAGAGAACCGAAACAACGCCGCGGTAGCGCGGTGTTTTGGCCATCGCGTTCGAATTAATTTTAATGAATTAAATTAATATTTACAAATATCTTACATTAATCAAAAAATTAAAACAACAATCCTTTTTATTAATATATTCTACACCACTGATATTAATTTCATTAAGATTTGTTGATGTATTACGTTCATTTTTGGATTTGAATTTCTCTTTTACAGGTAGTTTTATGATTTTTTTCTATCGAGAAAATATATCGAGAACATGTTTTGGAAACAATGTTCCCTTAGAATGTACGATCAAGATTAACAAATATTTTTTTTGCTGCTATAAAATGTGTAGAATTTTCTAAAAAATCTTTTGAAAAACCTATTTTTACTGCATACAGCGCCTTAATGTGTACATCTGCACAATGTAAGGCGCATGGGGCGTTCGACTACAAATATCAAATTACAATGTGTCGCCACAACGTGATGAAGTATAATATAATTAGGGTAACAAAAAAATAACTATTTTTTTTATTCTCAGGTGCCAGTACTCTTTGTTTGCGTAAAAAAATAAACACACATTGTGCATATGAAAAAGTTGTTATTGTTTGCCATAGTAATGCCTTGAAGTACCGTGGTCAAAGTCAGTCGCTTTGCAACCAAGTTCATGTCGCTTTTTGAATGTTTGTGTGCGCGCGCATCGTAAAACTTTTAACGTCATATTTTTGTCAAAAGAAGTATAACTTCAAAAATAATTTTGTTAACCTGTAAACGTTACGAGTTTTTGTGATGATTTCCCTTATCTGATGTTTCGCTACATACTTATATTATAATTAATAATTATTTAAATTATATTATACATATGCATAGTACCAAAACATTTTATAGACAAAATTAATATCGATATTGGCTATAATGATTTTAATGATAAGATTAAAGCTTTTCTTTCTACGCGTTCTTAAGTTGTGTTGCTCTATAATTTCAGTGTTTACATATAATCTTTATAGTTTAAAAGTTTTAAATTCCATGGACTTTATATTATAGGTGGGATTTGAATTTTGAAACGCGAAACTCAATTACATGCTTTACAGAAAACATAACTTTCAATTATGTCGGTGTATAATTTTGTTTTTAGGTCAAACAGTAAGGTCGTCAGTTCAGATAAATGGTATCAATATTGAACTTGTAACAACATACCACGCCATCAAACTTGTCCATTTCCCATCAGCGGCTCGCAGTTAAACAATTACTGTAGCTTTTAACAAATGGCCCTACGAGCTATTGTTGGTTAGTTAAATTGCGCCATATTTACTCATGATACAAGTTGGGAACGGGGGAAAATGCAAAGTCGTAAGAATGTATATACATAATAGGAGAAAATGAAATCGATAAAAGGAATGCACATACATGCGTTACACCGGTTACACGGGTATTGATGTATTGTTTTGTATTCCCAATGGGATGACTAGATTTTTCATTGACTTAGAAAGAAATTTATTGTGTAATATTTATAAGATTAAATCTGTCTAAAATTATCTAATAAACCTAATACACACTGCGGCATGAACGCTAGCTACATTTCCTCGTTATGCTTAACCTTTGAGCGAGAAAAGAACCAGCTCTCTTGTCGCTCTCAGCTCTTTTTCATTTTAAGTACATATAAGTTTTTTCTTCGTATGTACACACTTAACTAAGTATAAGCAACACCATGTAATATTTCTATGTATCTTTTTCGGTAATCAGACAAAATTAGGAGAGGATACATAAATGTAATGATTACTAAATCATAGAAACACTGTCATTATTGAGTCTTTTACTAAAAAAAAAAAAAACATAAAACACTAAACTACAGTATGAGTTATTAAACAAAACAGAAATTAAAAAAAGATAAAAAAAATTTTGAAAAAGCTCTTTAGAAACCTTAGCCTCGCTGTATGCCGAGTCAGTACTCAGACAGAATAATTTTTATTATTTTAAATAAAATATTATCTGTTCTCAAATCAGTCAGAATTAATTTTCAGAATAAGAAGTTTCAATTCAATTATTAATAAAGTTATTTAAATAAATCCCTGATGACATATCCCCGTCGCTAATGAAGTCAAGTCAAAAGTTATCAAACCTCAGTCAGTCTAGTAGAACGTTATAATTTTTGTCGCAGTAAACAACTTTGTACTAGTTAAGTAATGTAAACTTTGGACCACTGTTCTACTGCAGGCCGAAGTAACTGACGGAATTTAACTTGAGAAGGATTGGGGATGGAGTCACAATTAAACCTAGTCCCGAGCAGTTACGAAAACGTTCGCCCCTCGGGCTACTGCTCCGACATTGTTCTCGCTCCAATTAAAACTTGTCCACAATTAATTCCCTGTTGCGAGTGAGTCTTGCCAATGGGCAAACAACACGTCACCGTTACTGATCGTCGTTTAGTTCTGGTGCGGTCCCCACTGGTTTGGATTCGTATGCAAACGTAATCTAATACTAGATTGCGCTTTGTAGTTCGCCCGGGCGGACTACAAGCAATACTGCCACGCGGCTCCAGTCGGTTTTGATTTAAATGTGACTTTTATTTATTAGAGATACCAACTGTATACATGTTAAAAAATGAACGAGGTAACATTATTTGATGTTCTTATGTGAACACTATTATATGGCAGATATTGTAGAACCTTTACAAATATGTCAAGTGCGAATAAAATTACAAAAATTACCGTCAAAAAAAGCTCGCAGCTCTTAAGGTCTTAAATTAATGTTGACGGGAAAAGAAAGAGAATTAAAAAAAAAAATAATAGTTTAATAAAACTTTGTACGTTTAATTATTGTATTTATTCCAATTTCTGAAATTTTATAAAAGGATAAGAGGAATATGTAAGATTTCACGCTCTCGAAAGTCTCACTAAGCTGCCCTCATTTCTTATCGAAAATTGGACACTTTCACGAAAGCCCTTACACGAGTTCAATATTTGACGGGACTATTTACAGTTAGAGTAGTTTCACGCAAACTCTCCGCTTATTAACGAAATAAATTTACACTCTCTCCATCATTTAATCGTCGGGTAACGGCTGATTTTAAATAAAATCTTCGATCTATTGTTCTATATGTAACGCATTATAGAAAAAAAAACACGTAAGTAAATGTAACGTGAACATTGCGACTTCCTAATCTATAAATCTGTTATTGTTTCCTTATGACGATGTTATTTTTTCTACTCGTGAATTAAACTTTAATTTTTAACATTTAAATGAATTTGCTATCAGCAACCATTTATTGTATTAAGATATGTATATACTTATATAATATGTGATATACTTTATAGTGCGAGTAAAATTTAACTGTTGTTAATTCTGAACACTTTCACTTTATTGCATGGTTCTAAATGGGATTTAAAATAAATTAACAGCGTAACATGTCCCACTGCTGGACCCAGTCCCCAGCACGCGACCCCACTGCAGATTGGCGGACTTCACATTATATCTTAAATCATTTTGTTTTTGTTATAATTTCGAAAATATGCACGTTCCCTCACGTTATTTTTCTTCACCGCTGAGGACGTGATAATTCAGCACTTAAAATAAACAATTTCATTGGTGCTGGCACCGGGGATCGAACTCAGGTTGCTCGAGTAAATTGAATTAAAGGCGAGCATGAACACTGAGCTATCATGGCTCTCATGTGACGTGTTTTAAGACATTTATCATTATTTTAAGAAAATCAAAGGTTACTAAATTTTAGTTATTCAGCCTTCATTTTTGATTTTCTCGATGCACTCGTTCATGTTGTTGGCTATATCTGTTTCGTTACCAGGCTGAAGAAGGCCTAGTGGTTAGGTTGAGGTTCGAGGCAGTGAGACTCCCTTGCGCGGGGCAAGCTCTGCGCGCTCGCGACGGAGACTCCTTGGGATCGCCTCTGCTCGCTTCCTGGGACGGACCTGACAGCACTGCCTCGGTAAGCCAAGACAATCACAGTGAAAAGTGAGAATGATAACCAGATAGTCAGAAATACCGATTGGCACTTGTGTAAGCTGACCTTTATGTTTCATTAAGACTAGTGATGTGGAGACGACGACCGACAGCAGCGGAGTGGTGGAAATAGCCGGAGGTCGCCACATCCTGGTCGAGCTGAAGTCAATTTGGACACCAGTGAACGTTGCACGGGAGGGTTTCTCGCGCACGCGTATCAAGTTGGTGAGTCACTCAAAATAATCTATGATGATATAAAACAGTGCATTGGTAACCTACCTAGTGCGAGCCACTGAAATAGATACATTCATTATTAAACGGCGCTGCTAATTAGAGACCTTAGTTCATTTTTAATTATCTGTTTAGATTAAAACCTAATAATTTGTAATGAAGCTTGTAAAGCTAGAAGATCGAGAAGGATCTGGATGGGCTGTGTGAAGAATGATATGTCAGTGAATAGGGTGAGCATTGAGATGACGGCCGATAGAGGAGAGCGGAAGGAAAGGACATGTTGCGTCGATCCCACCTAAGGGCGGAAGAAAGAAGAAGTGTTTGTGAAGAATCTAATGCGGCCTTCGCGTCGAAGCAGAGCCGATCCGCAACGCGTCCGCGGCGTGGGCGTCGGAGGGCGGGGGCGCGTGGTGGCGCGGCGGAGGGGGGGCGCGGGCGGCGGCGGGCGCGCTGGCCGCGCTGGCCGCGCTCGCCGCGCTGACGCTGGCGCTGCACTCGGCGCACCGCACCAGGGCCTATCAGCGCGCGGCCGACAAAGATTCGCTCACCGACAGCGACGGTGAGCGATTACAACCGTGGCTACTTGTCGCACCGGTCTCGAGTGACGGCCGAATGTGTATCGTTGGCGTACCCCGTTTATGTCATTCATGACGATCGTTGAACTGGGGCTCATTCACGATGGTATTGTTAAACCGGCTTATATGCCTGCGTAATCATCTTCTTGTATATCGTATAATACTTTTTTTACTTTACCAATTCAAACTAAAGTCTATTCTACGAACAAAACCTCAACAAATTTTGTACCCAGCAAAATACTTTTACTATTTGATTTTTTTTTAATTTTTTTTTAATTAAAAAACTGGCTAGAACTAGACTGCCATCCCACCTGATGGTAACTGGCGATGCATCCGTTGATGGTAAGCGCGCTAGCTCAGTAGAAACCTATAAAACTTTGTTGTCTCGAATAGCATCATCCTAATTGGTAATCGGTTTAGTTGTTTGCGAGAAACATCTGATCCTTGTGATGTCCAAACAGCGTGTAGCACTTTCTTATCTGTGGTTTGTATTTGCGTCTCGCGATTCCCAACAGCGTGTAGCACTTTCTTATTTGTGATTTGTATTTACGTCTAGCGAAACAATTGGCCTTCGCATTGCCTCGGGTCCATTCCGTTTCCTTCCAATACCCAGCGTGCTCGGCGAGCCTGGAGCTGGGCGTGGCGCCGGCCTTGTCCCGCAGCACGCTCCTGTCCGAGGCGCTCGGCGGCGCCGCCCTCCGCCGGCTGCTGAACGCGGGACACACTCGCCTCAGGGACTCCGCCCGAAGGTACGGAGCCAATCGATCACTGCCGCCCATGGATGGACATTTGCCATGCCCATAGTGGGATTGCAGATACGTCGCCAACTTTTAATAAAGCGGGCCCCGGCTCCCGTAAATGTAACGTGAACAGCGTAAGCTACTGATATGCGAACCATCATAGTGTACACACATTTTTTTAGTGCTCGAAATCAATGAATAAAATGAAATAGACAATCTCACCCTCACCCTCACCCTAACGTGTTTCAAATGTAAAACACCACTTTTGATAATCATTCAACGTTATACCCTACATCCATTCGGTTCACTTGAGAGACATAATGAACGTCAGCTTTGTTTAAATAAATATAAATGATCCACTACAGTCTAAAATATAAGAATCGTCGTCAAGGCTTGTAATTGCTAGGGGTGTCAATTGATGGCAGCGCCATTGTTCCATCACGTATTGCTTACTTGACAAAGGGCCCCTTTGGTTTTTCTAATACCTTGATTATTCTTGTTCTCGAGTGATTGATCTATCGTTTCATTTTTAAATTTTTGATTTATTTAAGTTTGTCATGAAAAAACGACTTGCAATCTAATAAATTAGTTTCTTTTATAAGTGTTACAATTTTATAGTGAAATATGTTAGACTTTAATTCGTTTAAACATTATCAAGAGTATCAATTGATTGGTGTACGTTGTAAATGGTATCATAGTCAGCGCAGGCGTTTTTAATGTTCACGTGATATACGCAGAGAATTTCTACATAGGTTTTTGTCTGGATCACTGTTGGCCCTGGGAGGCCTTTATAGATCCACCGGGCCGGAGGTGGCCGGGCGCTCGGGACGCCTAGCCTGAACCTCGCTCACTGGTGGCTAAGGTCGGGAGACTTTAAGCTCAATGGCCAGGGACCAGAGGGGGCCGGACCTCAGCTCGATCGGTAGCTATCCAGCCAGCTAGCTATTCGGCCAGAAAATATTTAGTGGTAGTAGCAGGGACGACGAGGAGCCGGGCACCGACGTGGAGGTGGAGGTGGAAATGGAGGCGGAGGTGGCCCCCGAGAGGGCGTCGTCGCACAGCGCCCCCCTGGGGGGCGAAGTCGCCTCGCCCGCCCCCCTGCGCCGCTCGCGCACCGTCTCCGCCACCAACGTGGCCCCGCAGGTACACTCTTTGCTTATCTATTTTTTTTGCGATTTAATAACTTGGTAAATATTGTTGTTTAAAGAATATAAATGCTTAATACAATTTTAAAAAGTTATCCTCTATATGAGCGTCCGTTTATCGTCGTGGTAGTAACGACACGTTGTATATATTTTTCTAATATAATACAATAAACAATTTGCGGTCCTTCTAGGCGTCATTCCCGCCAAAGTCATCTGCCAGCCAAGCGGAGACAGTCGAGCTGAACACTAGCAATGCCAGTGTGAGCGAGAGGGAAGACAGCTCGAGGGAGAAAGACAGAGACAGCGCTTGGGAGAAGGACAGGAGCGCAAGTAGAGCCTCGTCTTCCACGTCCGCCGCGACTCTGACCAACGTAAAGTATACAGAAAGAAAATTTACGTTTACTTTACCATATAGGCCATACCATTTTCGACTCAAAACCTATAGGGTACTTCCGTTTGATCTAAAACTGTCAATTTTGATAAAAAGCAATAACAAGTGGAGGGAAAATTCCGAAATATAAAAATAGATTAAAATTAAGGTAAATTTTGGTACTTACGAGTTTTAACGCAAATATTAATTTCCCAATATATTTTTAGTGTGTTTAACTCAGGACCTTGATTTTTAAACACCCAATAGTGACTATAGACCTCAGTATCTGGAATAAATTTCAACTTGCTAGGACAGACGGACGGGAGAGTGATGTTTTTGCTAGCTTCTGAGGTAGGAATCTCCCCCAGGGCTGGTACTCGCCCGCGCTGAGCGGCGTGGCCGCGGCCAGGGTGCGCGACAACCCTAAGCGCTGCAAAGAGACCACCAACCGCAAGCTGCTCAGGTCCGACCTCAGCCTCACTTCGCACCCCGAGATGGAGATAGACTATTACGACTACGAGGTGAACAACGCAGGTATTGCTCTTTTCATTTCGGACTCATCATTTACTTTTTTTTACGTGTGAAGGTGGCTAGCGAGCTGGCGGTTCACCTGATGTTAAGTGATACACGCCTCCCGTGGACACATGCAACAACCATAGGGTTGCAGATACCACCTTTCAATAAAATGGGCCCCGGCCATCTCATTCACCAGACGAAACGTAGAAGTATAGCACTTTTTTTTTATCTGAAAAGTTGCCAAACGAGCAGACGGTTCACCTGATGTTAAGTGAATACCGCCGCCAATGGACATCTGCTACACCCAAATGTGTTGAAAACCTTTTGAAAATTGGGCTCCGGCCACCTCAATCACCAGACGAAACGCGAAAGCATTATACTTCCACTTGACGCTGGTCTTCTGTGAGATCGTGGTACTTACACGGACGGGCCTGCCCATTCGTGCAACAGCCGAGGCTGCTGCGTGGCCCTACCACCGTAAAGTGGAAGTTCTTCATGAAACATTTTGGGTAATGGTTTCTGTTTAATTTAATTTTGACAAAATATCTCATAAACTAATCCTGTATAACATGACGCCAAGAATCTTTTTTTAAAAAAACTTGTTATAATACAAATAAAAATAAAAAAACTTTAAGGTAATTTGCAATCGAGTAAGGAGGTCGTTGATCTTTGAAAATTGTTCTCTTTTATAATTAATAATACGGTGACGGTGCATAGATGGAGTGACGACCTGTGCAAATGCGCGGGAAGTCGACGGATTCAGGTGGCTCAGGATCGATCGATCGTATTCATGGCAGTCTATGGGAGAGGCTTATGTGCAGCAGCGGACTCAAACGGGCTGATGTAGATGATGATAATAATTAAAATCCTAATGCATATATTTAAAAGCTTAAGATTGATTAATTATTTAATCATCGATGAACGGATGTTTACTAATCGTTACAGGTTCCGTACCAGGTTCGTATTTAGGGATGGATCCGGCCTTCTTGGTATGGATACCGCCGATCGAGGATGGCGATATCATAAAGGAAATCGACGAAAACAGAGCCCTGCAGTATGAGGTAACTTTATACCTAAGGTTATAACGTATATATCGTTTTAATATTTATCTATCTATTACAAATTTTTCCTTTCCGTTATAATTTCAAACCGATCTGAATAATCTGCATCCAATCTAAGAAATTGATGGACATATTCAATCGAAGAATCATATTAAAATGAACTAGTCGGTCTTGAGTAATGCTTCGTACGATTTCTTTCACCAAATTCGAATGTAAAATGCTTTAACATAGTATGTGACGAATTAAATGGCAACACATCCAACAGACGTTGGTGCCGAAAGAGCTGCGCCCCAGCCCGGGGAGCAACAGAGAGTCCCCCGAGGAGCGCCCCCCGGGGGGCGAAATGAAGAGGCCCTCCGACAGATCGGCCGATTTAGAGTCCGCGAAGAAACTGCTCGAAGGGGGCGTCATCCATCCGCTGAACTTCAGCGTGAGCGATCTGCACTCGCCGAAGCTCAAGAGGGGCCGGAGGAGGAACGAGCGGCAGGTGGCGATTCCGATGCGAGACCTGGGCAGCTCATCGCCGGCGAGGGTCCACCGGAGGGCGGCGGCGGCAGGGGCGGCAGGGGAGGCAGGGGCGGCACGGGAGGCAGGGGAGGCAGGGGAGGCAGGGGAGGCAGGGGAGGCAGGGGAGGGCTCCACGCTGAAGCGCATCCGCGACGCGCGCAGGGAGACCGGAGATGGCACCCTGAAGAGGTCCGACGCCTCGGAGCTGCGCTTCGCCGACGACAATTCCGACTCCTCCGGCGACATCAAGTTCGCCGACGACTCCCCGGACAGCAACAGACTAGCGGACAGGTACGAAGTGGTGGCGTAGCCGTGTCCCACACTTATATAGATAGCCTTTGCCCTTTGAAACGTCACTCAAACGCAGCTCTGACCTTTCCCTCATCTCCTTATGTAGCGAATGTAACGATCGAATGGAAATTGTGAATGTAGACGTATCCGAAATTAATTCGATATATCTCTATTACGCGTACTATGGTAATGTTAAAGTATGAAATTGAAAAATAAAAAAAAAATGTATAGAGAAATCCGAATGCTTAAGTTTCACGCTTGCAGCACTAAGAAGGCAACGGCTCGAATAGACAAAGTTCAGCATCCTAGTTTTGCCCATTAGTCGACTCTAAGGACCAATATTAACGCGTGATAACTAAACTTACGTTCGCACTAGGGAAACCATCTTGTACACTAATAAAACTTAATAGCACTTTATATAAACGGTGGCGGGAGGTGCATATTTTTCTCTGTAAACCCGTAGTCTAGTCAAATCCACCCCTTTATAGTCTAATCGTCCACCTCCAATATATTAACTATGTCAATAAATGTTTAATGGTTCACTTGCACTGTATATTTACATCAGTACAATTTTCGTTTATGTTCATAATTAGAAGACTGACATTTTCGGGCAGTGCAATAAACGTTTCTAAATTAAATCTACATACGTAAAGTTTGATTTCAGTGTAAGATTAAATGGAAGTATCTATTAAGGACTTTAAAGTTTTCAATGTTATTTCATTGTCACGCGAGAATTGTTTTGATGTTAGAACTGTATTTAGTAAACTATCTAAAGCGTGAAATGCATAGAACGAAATCTCGCCCTAGAACGGTAACGTCGCGATGTTAAAATTGAACATCGGCTATGGAATGTGATACTGATTGTACTTAATTCATAGATAATTCATTAAATCAGTTATGTAAATGTTATAGACGTAAAATAACAAATAGATGACATTTTTGTTTCTTTAGCGACGTGTGGATATAATATTAGGCGACGCAATAGGAAGTTTGCAATTTCAACTTATCTTACATATTGTATTCTTTTTGTTAACTATGTTATACTTACAAAAAAAATGTATATTTAACGTGGATGGAAAAACTCCTTTGAGTTCTAACATTCTTGTAATTAAGCGACAGTCACCAAGATAACAAATTTTATGCTCATGAAAAGTTTATGCTTTTTCCCGTAATTCATATATTAAGGATTTACAGTATTTTTAATGTATTAAATGTTATATTATTTTATTTGACACAAACGGGCACACGTATTATGAAAGTGATGAATTTTATATAGCGTTTTTTCTTCAGTCCAAAAATAGTGTGTCTAAATTTTGTTTCTAGTCATTTGTTTGTTGTTTTTTTTTTTAATTGTTTATATATTATTTATTTTACAGGACATAAGATTTTTATCTTTAATTGAAGTACCTATGTGCGTGAGAGTAATTTATTATTTACGATGTAAGAACTAATTCAGCGTCGATAGTTTGTAAGCGATGGGTGCCCGAGTTTATGTTTAAATTAAACAGTCGCCAATAAAAGTTTTATTTATTAATTGATAAATAATTGTTGTTTTACTTGACTTATTCCTCTACCTAATACAATCATATTGACATGAAGATAATTAACAAATTGTCTTAGACTAAAGAAATGTTCATTAAATAGCCAAACAAACAAAGTAAAGTAACTGTCTATAAATATTCCACTAGTGGGAAAAGATGGCAAAATACCTCATTTATAAAAATACTCCATAGTCCACGTATTCACCACCTCCATATCACAGCTCGTAAAAATGTTAAATATTGTAAAAACTTTTTGTGTCAAGTGCGCTGGTTCTTAAAGTTCTGAAAGGTTAATTATTCAGCGAGGAAATTCAGCTAGATAAAGTTCTTGGCACCATGCTGCGTAGACTAGGTTTATTAGATAACTAGCAACCAGCCCCTGCTTCGCACGGTGCAATGCTGATACTAAATATACTGTACTATACTATGCATGTATAATACATGTAAACCTTCCTCTTGAATCACTCTATCTAGCAAAAAAAACGTGTTGTAGATGTCCACGGACGGCGGTAATCACTTAGCGCAAAGGAAAAGTCTTTGCCATATCACTATATAGTATACAAATATAATCACATATAGTATACAAAGTCGGCCCTCTGTCTGTCTATCTGTCCCTATGTATGCTCAGATCTTTAAAACTACGCAACGGATCTTTATGCGGTTTTTTTTACTAGATAGAGTGATCCGAGAGGAAGGTTTTTATGTATAATACATTGCACCCGTGCGAAGCCGGGGCGGGCACTAGTTTTCATATAAAAACATGCTCCTTTTGATGGAAATCACATTAACTCAATAGACTCCCTTTACTTTTCTCGTGAAGATTTAAAACAGACACAAAGACCGAGGAAGATTGTTCCATACCATGAGACACGCCTCTTCGCTTACGGACTACGAAGGAATGAACACCAGGTGAGCGTCACATACCCGATTGAATGAAAACAAATATTTCACTCTTGATCAGAGTTACCTGTCACGTATATGTCAACTTCTGTTCTTGATTTGTTCGAATTTATTTTTGCATTTGAATTATTATGAAATGGAAATTTTGTCGGACAAAATTTCCATTTAATTTTTTAAGGAACATACTTTTCTTCAAAATGTTAAATATCTAGTTTTTGAACATGTTTAGGGTAAGACCTTAATCAAACTACAATCGTCCAATCTTTTCTGCAAAAGTCCCAGTCTTAAATATCCGCCCGAAGCGAGGACTCATGCGGCATATGATGTAGTTTAGTTAATGTCATTGCTTGAGTTCTGGATATATGTAATTACCATGATCACAAATTATATGTTGTTATGGGCCACTGTAACATACGTATAAGATGTTCCGTAGGGAACACCTGTGAAGAACAGGTGTTACGTTTCTCCTGTAAAATATTTTTTTAGACGATAGCGAGAAAATTTTTTAGAAGAATAAAAAAACAGCCACATCAAAGAAAAAGAAAAGTTTGAAGATAGGATTTATTTAAATAAATTATCTAATTCGAATTTGTAATTATAAGTAAGATGAAAGATATTATCAATGTTTACTGCCTACCAAATAAAAGGTTTTGTTCATTCAACCTACTACTTAACTTTTGAAAGAAAGAAAGAAAAAAAGATGATATTATCCATATACTATCTTCCTAGAAGGTAACTAGGTTGTCACCCAAAGGCGTTGTAATTGGGTACAGTTATTATTTCTACGAAAATATAACATGCCTAATATTTTCCTTCACATAAAGTGATATTCCATTGCCTGAGTGACTATTACTAGGCAATTTTCGAATAATCTCATTGGGGTGGTAAATTGCGAATTTGGGGTCTGTTATCAAATTTACATCGTAACGGTTTTGTGCAAAATAAACTTGGCCAACTAAAATTAAATGTTAATAAAACTGTGGTGTGCACCAAAAGGATGTTAATTAGGATTTCATATTTTTTTTATCTGAGGATTGTGATTTTGAGTACATTACGTACATATATCGTTTCCAGAATCAGTGAGCTTTTAGGATTTCAAAAGATTTATTTTTATTTTTGTGTTTTACAGTAATAATACAACATGTGCATTTAACCATGCTCGAAAAATTAAGCATTAGATATCTCTCGGATATCATCTTATAAGCGATCAATGTTGTTACATCATATATATATCTGATACTTCGCTACACTTGTTTGTACAAAAAGTGGAAACTATATTTTTCCATAGAAAATTCGTGTAAATAGTGGAAATGGTTACGTAACTATCTTCGAGTCCATTCAAATATATAAGTACATAACTACTACCTAATGTTAGAAACTATACTAATTAATATGCAACGAGTTCGATACTCTTATTCGTTATAATTCGTTGTACCAAACGCCAGGCTTACGTGACCGTAAACTTGTCACAAGCATTCCTCATCGGAATTAATATTCCGTGAAGTGCACGATGGAGATTTTAATAATTCTGTCATTTCTTTGTTCACTTTGTCCGGGTATGATACGCTGAAGAATATTCAATCTGAATGGCTGTACGGATTTGTTTTATTTCACATTTTAATTTCATTTTTTGGATTTTTTCAAATGCTAAGAAAACAATGTGGAAGAATGCGTTAAGATTTTCGTCGGTGTGGTGATCAGCCGTTTAGCTCAGTGGCTGGAGCGTCAGGCCGCGAATGCCGAAGACGTGGGTTCGATTCCCACAGCGGCGACAATCTTTTCGCACTTTTTCTACATATTTTAATGTTCAATCTTAAGTGCAAAGATTAGCACTATAAACAATTTAAATTTCTGACATTTGTGATTTTAACCGCATCTCGTCTAATGAAACTTTATTTTCAACCAGGAATGAAAAACTTCGTGCCCACTGATAGGGAAGTAGGGACACAGTCAACCTAAGGCAAATCGAGTTCTTACGATAGGTGCAACAATTAATGCAAAAGTTGCATATCGTATTTTTATTTCTGTTTACGTGTTTACTTTATGTGTGTTAAATATATTTATAAACAGATACTAAATAGACCCAGAGCTCGTTTTTTTTTTCCTTTAGCAGTGATAGTGCTGTGTTGAGCTGTGATCAACAAATGCAATAGAAATACATTAACTTTTGCTTACAGCTCTTCATGAATTGTAAAGTCATTACCCGTATCGTCCGTAATTTCTCCGTATCTAGATTTTTGTAATACGTTATGAAAATATTCTTGAGTAAATCAACTAACTTTGCCTACTATTCAAGAATTTTGCAAAATTAAAAGAGAATTAAAGTTTACTATTAACGAAACAGAATAAAACCTTAAATACCTACCGATACTAATGGAGTATTTTACTTTAGAGTCTTCAAGTATCATTTAGCTATTCATGATCTTGATTTAGCTATTGATGACTTGAAAATCTGGTTAACGCAAATATAACTTATATTTGCGTAAATAGCAATTTACGAACAATTTCCGCGGGTTAATTTCCGATGAGCCGAGAAATTGCGAACCTTCGGTCAGTTATTGAATTAACCCGTTAC